TTTTAAAAAATTACTCTGTCAAAAAAATTAAAGGAACACTTTTTTTAATCGTAGTATAGCATCAAGTCAGTTAAACTCCTGGGATGTTGATCTGATCAGTTAAGTAGCAGAGGGGGTTGTTAATCAGTTTCAGCTGCTTTGGTGTTAATGAAATTAACAACAGATGCACTAGATGGGCAACAATGAGACAACCCCCAAAACAGGAATGGTTTTACAGGTGGAGGCCACTGACATTTTTTTCCCTACTCATCTTCTCTGACTGTTTTTCACTAGTTTTGCATTTGGCTAGGGTCAGTGTCACTACTGGTAGCATGAGGCGATACCTGGACCCTACAGAAGTTGCACAGGCAGTCCAACTCCTCCAGGATGGCACATCAATACATGCCATTGCCAGAAGGTTTGCTGTGTCTCCCAGCACAGTTCTAAGAGCATGGAGGAGATTCCAGGAGACAGGAAGTTACTCTAGGAGAGCTGGACAGAGCTGTAGAAGGTTCTTAATCCATCAGCAGGACCGGTATCTGCTCCTTTGTGCAAGGAGGAACAGGATGAGTACTGCCAGAGCCCTACAAAATTACCTCTAGAAGGCCACTGGTGTGAATGTCTCTGACCAATCAGAAACAGACTTCATGAGGGTGCCTGAGGGCCCGATGTCCTCTAGTGGGCCCTCTGCTCACTGCCCGGCACCATAGCGCTCGACTGGCATTTGCAATTGAACACCAGAATTGCCCTGTGCTTTTCACAGATGAGAGAGGTTCACCCTGAGCACATGTGACAGATGTGAAAGGATCTGGAGAAGCCATGGAGAACCTTATGCTGCCTGTAACATCATTCAGCATGACTGTTTTGGTGATGGTCTGGAGAGGCATATCCATGGAGGGACACACAGACCTCTACAGGCTAGACAATAGCACCCTGACTGCCATTAGGTATCAGGATGAAATCCTTGGACCCATTGTCAGACCCTACACTGATGCAGTGGGTCCTGGGTTCCTCCTGGTGCAGGACAATGCCCGGCTCGTGTGATGAGAGTATGCAGGCAGTTCCTGGAGGATGAAGGAATTGATATCATTGAATGGCCCCCACGCTCGCCTGACCTAAATCCAATAGAACACCTCTGGAATATCATGTTTTGGTCCATTCAACACTGCCAGGTTGGAGGAGCATTATGAGCATGGCCCGATGTTGTCAGGCATGCATACACGCACGTGGGGGCCATACAAACTACTGAGTACCATTTTGAGTTGCTGCAATGAAATTTCAGTAAAATGGACTAGCCTGCTGTATCATGTTTTCACTTTGATTTTCAGGGTGACTTTGAATTTAGTCCTCTGTAGGTTGATCATTTTTATTTTCATCAAACGATGGAGAATTCTTAAAGTTTCTAACACATTACCCAGTCCATATCAGTATAGATATCCAGCGTGATATTTTTCCCCATTGAGATCTGATGTGTTTTCAAAATGTTACTTTCATTTTTTTTGAGCAGTGTATTTATTTTATTTTTAAAAAAAAAGTTTCATTCTTAATCTGAATTTTTTATCTGATCAACTCTATTGCTTTCACAAAGGATGAACAACATCTCTTGTAAAAGCATGGGCCATGACAGGTCCTCTTTATGATCTGATGGGCTGCTTACCTGGCCACTAACAGCCAGATAAATAAAGAGTCGAAACCAGAAGTGACAAAATCTTTGTCGCTTCTGCTTTCTTGGGTCACAGAGAGTATTCTGACATCAGAGAGTCCATCTGCAAGCATACAATGTATGGATGGGACTGGGAGGATTCCTCCATCCACCTTGTTTGCATGGATGGAGGAATATGTTGTTTGTTTTGTTTTGCGTAGCCCACTGGCTGGGAAAAAAAAAAAATACAAGCCAACTTTATAGTGTATGGTTAGCTTGTAATCTGATTCACACAACTGCCTTAAGACCTACTATCAACTATGCAGACAAACGGGACCATCTGATTGGATACAAAATGAATGGATTATTTACTTGAGTCCTAATATAACATAGTTTTGGTAAACCCAATTAGGCTGTATACTGTGTGGCCAGCTTTGGATTTACCACATGTGCTAGGTGGGCATACCTAAACAGTCCGTTCAGTTTTTGTATTTCAAGACAGGCCCTTGCATTAGGTAGTTGATGGTAGCTCTAAAGGAGATGGTGCAATCAGATTGTCTACAGTATGGTCAGCAATGATGAGCTCAGCTGGGTCTGGACTTGGACTCCTGGCCGAAGATGTCTGAGCTCATCCTTATGCAGGCCATAGATGGGTCGAAAATTGGCAGATTTTTCGGCCGAAAAAAGAAAATCGCCGATGATTTTTGCACCGTTAATGGGTTAATTGGTCGGCTGGTTTTCTGGATTTTGGCACTTTTTTTTAATCAGAAAAAGTTTAAAAAAATCGGCCGATTTTCACAGCAATGATGGGCAAATCGGTCGATCTTTTTACCGATAAAAAATCTGCGCATGAGCCATGACCTGGAAGAAAAAGAGGAATTCCAGTCCACTATTATATTTGTAGCAGATATAAGAATCGCCACAGAAAATGCAAAATAAATCAAATAATAAGCAGCACCTCTAACCAAAAAAGGTAAAATGGTGTACAAATAAAAAAGTGCGCTAATTATTCACAAAACATGCAAGGATAAATAATAAAAATAAATGAATTCATAAATATAAACATAAGTCCAGCCACCATAACAGTGATAGTCCAATATCAACTTAATGTCAATCTTGAAAACAAACACCCATGTGCAAATCCGACACCAGATGAAATGAATACACTCACCAGAGTTATATGCTGATTAAATTATAAACCAGCATGATAGCATTTTGCTCTGGGAGCGATGATCTGCAGGATATCCTAGTAGAGGAACAGCAACCAATAGTGATCCAATCGGCACATATGGAACAGCTAGGCAGCACATATGGAACAGCTAAGCAGCAAATGGTCTTCCAATAACATGGGCAAAGCTCGAGGAATAAGAAGAGATATGATGGTGCAGTAAGTTTAAAACCAGTAAAATTTTATTAATAAAGTATTGCACTCACAAAGAAGGTGTCTAGCTGACACCAGCAATGACAGCCTCTAAAATGCCATATCCACAAGGGAAAAACCAAGGGACAAACCTCCTGCACTGCGATCAACACAGCCGACAGCTGGGAGGAACGTTCCAACGTCACGTCCACTAGGCCAGGCCCAACGCGTTTCGTCACTTGACGTCTTCAATATTTGACATGAAAAAGTATTGTGTTGTAACAATGTATCTATTTGTATCCGAATAAAAACATCTGTATCCGAAATACAGAATAGAAATACAAATAGATACAATGTTGCAACCGCTATACCTTTTCATGTCAAATATAATAGCGGAGCTCTCTGCAGGGACAGGAGTAATTAAATGCTGGCTATAGACGGGCCGAAAATCAGCCAATTTTTTTTACCCTTGGTGGTAACGTCTGCCTATTGAACGACCAATTTTTCATTTTTTTTTTTTTTTTTTTTAAACGGCCGGTTTTTGACCCATCTATGGCCTGCATTAATGGTCAGTAGAGATCAGCTTGGTTGTCCTCCGAACTTCAAAGTCACACTTGTTTTGCTCAACTGTGGGCTGAATATTTCCCCACCCCACAGCTCATGTAAACAAATGGGTGGGATGCTGGTGATGTCAGTGTCCTTATATGGACACATGCCAATATTTTGTTAACCCCTTCACACCTAAGGCTAAAACAAATCTTAACGCCTAAGCACAATTTTGCAACTTTGACATGTGTTAGCAAAAGCATACATATCATCAAAACTACTTTGTACATCCAGGTAGAATATACCTTGTTTTTGTTTTCAGGACAAATTGGGCTTTCATTTGGTGGTAAATGGTAATAGATATCTCCTGATTTTTTTATTTTATTTTTTTTTTATTATTATTACCAAAGTAAAACTGTCCCAAAATAGTAAAAAAAAAAACATTTTTTTTAAATTTAGCTGTATATTTCTTGCTACTACCATAACCTACCACCAAAAAACAACCCAAAATAATTTTTCCTGCTCCTGACGATCGAAACTATACTATGTGTGTATGTTAGTTGTTGTTTGTACCCATAGTACAGCCCAGAAACCAGAGTGTGCAAGTTGCTTTTCTTTTTTGTTCTGCCACTAACTGACACTAATTTAAAAATTAACACCAGATCCAAACTAAAGCAGAAGAGTTCTGCATCCAAAAAAGAATAATATTTGCCAGTGATAAGGATGGATAAGCTTTCATTAAACAGTTTTTTGCTTCAGGGTTTACCTACACTTCAAAGTGATATTAAAGGCTACACTGTGCAATGATATTGCATAGAAATGTCGCTTTCCTCTTCTAGCAGTCCCCCACCGGCGCTGTCAGCTTCTCTCTCCTCCGGATGCCTCCTAGTAGTAAGCCGGGTGCTAATAGTATAATATATACTCCATTCTGAGCTGGGCTGGATAGACACACACAGAACCAGTAAGCCATGCTCCCGCTCCCTCCTCACAGGCGTTTTATTGGCAGCAGCAGGAACCTATGGCTCCGTTGTCCTCAGTTTCTACCATGAAAGCAGGAAGTGAGGGGAGCGGAGCTGGAGAGAACGCTGGAGCAATGACATGGAGCCAGGTAAGTGTCAAGGGATGGGGGGGGGAGAAGGTAGGACAGGTAGTGGGGCATTTTTTGCCTCAAAGCAGATAATGCATTAAGGTAAAAAAAAATATTTAGACTATAGCATCACTAAGTAGGTGTAGCTCTCTGTAGAAGTAATGTGGCAGATTGATAGAATTTCATTCTGCCCACTATTGGGAGTTTAACATGCCTACTCTAGACAGTGCCTCCTTCTTTCGGTGTGTGCATATGTATTTCATAATCTGTCTTCTGCCATTTTCTTTCAGGAAGCTGAGCATTCAGACATGTCTTCAAGTAGCAGTGGTTCCCGATCTGCAGAGAGACGTCGTTCTCATTCCACCCCTCAAAAGCACCCCAAAACAGAATCCTTCACTGGGCGCTCAAAGAGCTGTGATGTTGGCAATACAGAAGATTCCCCATATTCTTTATCTCCCATCTACCATGATACCTTTGAAAGCGAGAACAAAGACTGTGAATCTGAAACAAAGTGCTCTAGGTAATGCTTCCAATTTAAAGGAGAACCTTGGACACATGCAAATATTTACATACTTATAATCAGAAAAAAAAATCTGCAAAAAAATCTTTTAATTAACTTAGCATTCACTGAACTCTGTAGCTGTAGACAGTGTAGAGTAATTAATCCTCAAAATTCACAGCAAAAATACTATCAAGCCACCCTCTCACCAATGCGTCATCCCACACTGCACACTGGGGATCCATCTGCCGGCCCTTATGTCACTACAGGAAGTGTTAAATGTGACGTTTCTATATTATGTGCCTAGTCTTTGAGGAACTGGTAGTAGGGCCAGTTAAAAAAAAAAAACTTTTCCTTTTTTTTTTTTTTTTTTCGGAGGTTACACCTCTTTGACATATTTTAACTCAACAACAGAATCGCATTTAGTTCCATTTCAGCAAATCCATACACTCTTGGAAGATGGGAGAAGTAAGCTGCTGAAGGAGCAACTTACACAACCATAGTGCTTCTACTGTTAAATTTGAGGATGAATTGCTCCACAGTGTCTGCAGCTACTGAAGTCAGTGAAGGATTGTTTTAAAGCTTTTTTGATTGTTCATAGCCTACTTTGTTTTTGTTTTGTTTTTTATATACAGTGATCTGAACATGAATAAAGGAAAGAGCACCTCAGTAATTGAACAGTCTCTAGCAAATATGCACCTCTCTCCTTGGGAGACGTGGTTGCTAAACAAAGAAAAACAATGTCGTATTGAGCTGCAGAAAAAAGTGTCTGAGGTAAGTTTTTTTAAAGTTTGTTATGGCAAAAAATAAAATGTTATACGTGCGTTGTGTTACACATATAGTTCCTATTACATGTAGCCTGTAAAGTTTATTTATTTTTATTGCCCATGTCTTTGCTAAATACTGGTGATCCTTCATTTCCACTTGGTTGCTGTTTCAGGACTCATTCACACCAGTGTGCAGAGACATCAGTTTTTCTGAATGCATTCTGCAAGGGCACAACAAAATCAATTGCTCTCTTTTTCTGTTCACACCACAACACTAGTATCATGTGTAGTTTTTTTCTGCACAGGAATATGCAATGTGTATAAAACGTATTGAAGTGTGCTTAAAACTGATGTAGACTGATCTTTCTGCAAGTGAAATCTGCACATATCTATCAGTTTTTTATGCATGTATGGTGTGAATAAGCCCTTAAAGTGGTGGGTAAACCCTTACATATACCCAGTGAAGATACCAACCTCAGGTGATACACAGAGATGAATCAAATCCTCCAACATGAGTTGTACCTGTTTATCTGCAACCATGTTTCCCCTATATCCATTCAAAGTGCATAATTTACACGGGATTTCTCAGCTCTGAAAAGCAGAGGTGGGGAGCTGAAGTTACATCAGTGAAGAAAGCTCTGAGAGCTGATTGGGGAGAAGGGACACACCCCCCTTCACACAGCAAACAGGAACAGAGCTGAGGCTGTCAACCATCTTGTTGTCAGGAAGACTTATCAGAAGTGATTCATGCTGATGGCAGAGGAACGAGGCAGCGGACAGAAATGACACTTAGTGCTCCGGATTAAGAAGGAACACACTATAGAGGGATATCCTTTTATTCATATTTCAAGTCTGAGGTTTACAACCACTTGAAACGGATCACACTGCACACAGAAGAAGATCCTCCCTAGAGTAGGAATATCGATTTCTCTTCTTCTGACTTGTGAGCTACAGGATGCCATGCCTTAAGTCTTGTAGTCAGAATTCGCTGCCCTTGTTCAGCCCTTCACACTTTGAAAGGTGCTCTGTCTGTGGAGCAGCAGGGAGCTCCTGGTATGATGTCGGTGAAAGCTGCTGAGCCTCTTCTTCAGGCTTTGCCCCTAGCCATGCGAGCTAGAAACCTTGTAATTTCAAAAGCTCTGGGAGTAGTCATTGGACCAGTTGGTGGTGAACTGGTTGTCCCCAGAAATTCCAAGCAGATTTTTGCTGTTGTCTCGTCGCTCTCTGTCAACTATATGGTTGGTGGGTGTGGGTGTTTTTTTTTAAATAGGAAAGGGTTTCTGGGACATAAAAGGGGCTCATTCTTTTAAACAAGCGAGAGTATTTTGAATGAGGCAGGACGGAGAGTGGATCACTCCTAGTCGGCTAAGTGTTGTTACTGCATGGCAATAAAATAGAGTAAGGGACGTGGAGCAGTGGGACTAAGAAATGCCATAAAACTTTTTAAAATATTTAATGTGCTATCAAAGGTTTTTTTTTTTTTGCTCAAAAAAAGAGGTCATATTTACCTGTTCTGTGCAACAGTATTGCACGGGTGGTCCTGTACCTCCTTTTTTGGCAGTCCCCTACCGGCGCTGTCCACCCCTCCCTTTTCTGGGTGCCCCTCAGCTGGCGCAGCACTAGGGTGACCCCTGTGCAGGCATGCTTCCGAGCCAGGCTGTCCATAGACACCCACAGTGTCGGTAAGCCACGCCCCTGCTCCCTCCTCACAGGAGTTGGACTGACATCAGTAGGAGCTTATAAATCTCACTGCCCTCAATGTTTCCTGTGAGCTCAGAAAAGAAGAGGAGTTGTGCTTCAACCGGAACAGTGCTGGAGCGGTGAGATGAGTCATGTAAGTATTTAGGGATGGGGAGGAGAACAGGTAGGGGGGGGGGGGGTTTGTTACCTTAATGCAGAGAATGCATGAAGGTAAAAAATATTTAGGCTTTAAAATTATTTAAAGGGTGGAGCTGTGGAGGAAAGGTAGTGATGGGAGCATCCAGATTAGTTTTAGTACAGTGCCTTGAAAAATTATTCATACCCCTTGGAATTTTCCACACTTGTCATGTTACAACCAAAAACGTAAATGTATTTTATTGGGATTTTACGTGATAGACCAACACAAAGAGGCACATAATTGTGAAGCGGAAGGAAAATGATAAATGGTTTTCAACATTTTTTACAAATAAATATCTAAAAATTGTGGCGTGCATTTGTATTCAGCCCCCCTGAGTCAATACTGAGTCAAGACTTACAGCTGCAAGTCTTTTTGGGGATGTCTCTACCAGCTTTGGACATTTAGAGAGTGAAATTTTTGCCCATTCTTCTTTTTAAATTAGCTCAAGCTCTGTGAGATTGGATGGAGAGTGTCTGTGAACAGCAGTTGTAAAGTCTTGCCACAGATTCTCAATTGGATTTAGGTCTGGACTTTGATTGGGCCTTTCTAACACATGAATATGCTTTGATCTCAACCATTCCATGGTAGCTCTGGCTGTATGTTTAGGGTCGTTGTCCTGCTGGAAGGTGAACCTCTGCCCCAGTCTCAAGTTCTTTTGAAGACTCCCAACAGGTTTTCTTCTAAGATTGCCCTGTATTTGGCTCCATCCAGCTTCCCTGTCTCTGCTGAAGAAAAGCATCCCCACAACATGATGCTGCCACCACCAAGTTTCACAGTGGGAATGGTGTGTTCAGGGTGATGTGTAGTGTTCGTTTTCCACCACACATAGCGTTTTGCTTTTAGGCCAAGAAGTTACATTTTGGTCTCATCTGACCAGATCACCTTCTTTCACATGTTTGTTGTGTCCCCTTCATGGCTTCTTACAAATTGCAAACAGGACTTCTTATGGCTTTCTTTCAACAATGGCTTTCTTCTTGCGACTATTCCATAAAGGCCAGATTTGTGGAGTACATGACTAATAGTTGTCCTGTGGACAGATTGTCCCACCTGAGCTGTGGATCTCTGCAGCTCCTCCAGAGTTACCATGGGCCTCTTGGCTGCTTCTCTGATTAATGCTCTTCTTGCCCTGCCTGTCAGTTTAGGTGGACGGCCATGTCTTGGTAGGTTTGCAGTTTGCAGTCTTTCCATTGTCGGATGATGGATTGGACAGTGTTCTGTGAGATGTTCAAAGCTTGGGATATTTTTGGGCTATAACCCTGCTTTAAAATTCTCCACAGCTTTATCCCTGACCTATCTAATGTGTTCCTTGGCCTTCATGATGCTGTTCATTCACTAATGTTCTCTATGGAATCTCTGAGGGTTTCGCAGAACAGCTGTATTTATACTGAGATTAAATTACACACTGGTGGACTCTATTTACTAATTAGGTGACTTCTGAAGGCAATTGGCTCCACTAGATTTTAGTTGAGAGTATCAGAGTAAAGGGGGCTTAATACAAATGCACGCCACACTTTTCAGATATTTGTAAAAAATTTTGAAAACCATTTATCATTTTCCTTCTACTTCACGTTTATGTGCCACTTTGTGTTGGTCTATCACATAAAATCCCCAAAAAATACATTTATGTTTTTGATTTTAACATGAAAAAATGTGGAAAATTTCAAGGGGTATGAATACGTTTTCAAAGCACTGTAGATTGGTGCAACCCACTACTAAGATGGGTAGTTTACACCAGGATGTATACTGAATCTGGAAATGAGAGGAATGGGGATGAGAGGTCAGGCTCATTTTATTAAATAGGACCAATATATTAGAAAAAAAGATGAATTGCACTGCAGATCCTTGAAACTCACACAGATGGGATATCACCTGATTATATTGTTGGCACAGTGTTTCCTTAAGATTGCATTTGTTCTTCATTTGTTTGTTATTTTTCCAATTTCTTCCTCTTTTTTGTATATTCAGCGTCTGCACTAAATACTTTACCATATAACAAACGTCTCAGTTTTAGGCCTCATTAATTATGTCTGCCTTTTTTCCCAGGAGATGAAGCAAGAAGAGGAAAAGAGAAAAGCTCATGAGAAAAAAGAACTGCAAAAACGACTGGCAGAAGAACAGCACAAGGAATGGGTGCTGAGAAAACAAGAGCAGGTAAAATTCTAGATCTTAGCCTTGCAATTTGCTGTCTGTTCTGTTAATGTGTAAGTGCCCAAGATTACCAGGCCTGGCATCATGACTACTTAGATATGTGGGGTTTTTTTTTGTTTTTATGTTTATGCCCCTAATCCACCATGGCAACCTCTGCTGCTTTCCTGGTGACCCCAGTTGCTTGAAACTTGATTTAAAGTGGAACTTCACTCTGTCAATCAACGACTAATTTTATTCATTACACTGCTATCATTAGTAAATAGGAAAGTATATCATATTAACTTGTTTTAAACTTTTTGTTTTTTACTTTTACATTTCTTCAGTGACTTCCTGGTTTTCATACCTAGGCAAATTATGTCATACACCCCAGCAGTCTTCAGGAGGGGAGGGAGGGGTCTCAGCTCAGCCTATGCCTGAGCTACGGGCTGATGGATTCCAGGAAGTAAATGATACATGAATCATCTTCCCTTATTCAAGCTGGCCATAGCCAGAAATGCCAGAGGGTGTTTTTCCAAATGATTTCTCAGCAAAATAAAGCATGGAGACATGGATGGATAGGGGAATTTGCTTTAAATATTAAAAATGAATTAAATGGCATTTTTAGTTAGTGGTGCTAAAAATCCCCCCACAAAGCCTTTGTATTCTGACAGCCAGCATCTGTCAATCGTTTTGGGGATCCCCATGCCTAAGCTCCGTGGGCGGAGTGAAATGTGTTGGAGGTGTGGCCTGGTTGAAGCCCAGGCTGAGGCTGTCATACACCTTCTTATGGGATTTTGCAGAGATGGGCGACTTCCAGGACTTATCCCTTTTCCATTAGATGTCTACAGCTGGGGTGAGCTCTGTCCTTGTCTGCACTCCAAGCGGTTGCTGCCAAAGGGGACCCAGTGGAACCTTGAGCGGCACTTGTCAATTTAATTTGAGTCGCAGTTATTTTGCTTTCATTTTGTTAGAGACACAGACACTTCCCATTCAGAGCAAAGTGACAGTTTTTACCAGTAATGGGACAATCCGTGCTCAGGGCAAAGATGGCAAATGGCGCTTGAAGGTGAGAGGACTGATTGGCATCTATGTCAAAGGGATGAAAGAAGGGGGGAGCTGGGCTCTGTGGGATGCATGCAACTAAAAGGCTCTGTGGGAGGAAGGGGGGGGGGGGGGGGGGGCTGAAAGATTGCTAAAGGCTTGTTGAGGGAGCAATATGTCACCTCCCCACTTTAACCATAAAATGTTGACTCATTGCAAAAGTAACTTACCAGGAGTTGATAGTAGTGGACAGAGCTTTGTGAAGGAGCAGAGAGTTTATTAAGATGCAGTCAGTACAAGAGGTAAGGCAGAGTGTTCAGCTCAAGGAGCTGGGGAATCCAGGCATTGTGCAGTGGGAGAATGACAGTCACTCCTGTCAGTGAGGCAAGAAGAGCGGCTGAAGCTCCCAGAACCCCCCCCTCTACATATTAACATTACGCCCAGGGCAGGTGCCCCTTCTAATACCCACCATCCAATTAGGTGTACTTGCCAGTCCATGTTTTCTTTTACTGCATCACTGTTCTGTTGGATCCTTTGCTCTTAGGCCTTGGTCGATCTAATTATAATTTGCCAGTGACAGGATTGTTAGAAAATACAAGAGGACACATGCTTGCTTTGTATATGGCACTTCATTGCCAGCTTTGGCAGCAAGGCTTCACTCCCTCTCTGTCAAAAATGTAAAACCTGAGTTCTCAGTGAAAAAGGGCCACTTTGCTCCCCCAGCTGGCGAAGCAGTGACAGTTTTTGCCAGCAGCAGGATCGCCAGTGTGACATGGCCTAAATGATATGGAGCAACATGTGATTTCCCCATGAATAGCCAATTACCAGCTGTAAAACTGAGGCTTAACCAGAATGGACCTTTTCTACAGGGTGTTGGCTAAATAGAGGATTAGTAAATTATACCTTGCTACAGGGTTATCAGGAGACAATGTCTCTTTACCTTTCACAAGAAATATAAAAATAGACTTTGGTTGCTGTTGGAAATGTAGGACTTTTTTAAATATAAATAAATGAGATAGTAGAAGACTGGATCTCATTCCAGTTTGATATAGATGTTGGATTGTGTTATAACATGTGAGATACCGTATTTTTCGCTCCATAAGACGCACTTTTTTCCCCCCAAAAAGGGGGGAAAATGTCAGTGCGTTTTATGGAGCGAATATGGAGCGGCCAGTCCGGAATTTCCACCGCCGCCGTGTCAGAATATCGGGCCGGCCGCTCAGCTCTGCAGCGGGACCTTATGGAGATGACTGCTGACCTGTGGGGAGGTGGGGAGCGGGTACCTGAATTTGACAGGTACCCGCTCTTACTTCCGCGGAGTTGTTCTTTGATCTTACCTGTTCCTCTATCCAGCCGCGCGCTGTCTTCCCGGCTTCTGTAGTGTGGGCGCTGGGCTTGACAGCCGGGTGCCAAGTGTGCATGCGCAAGAAGCGGTGCTTTTTGTGAATGGTAAGGCGGTACCTGGGACACATGACAGATCCCAGAAGCCGCCGGACCAATCACAAAGCGCAAGTGCTTCTCGCTCATGCGCACTGGGCCCCAGCTTTCATGCCGAGCGCCTACACTACAGAAGCCGGGAAGACCGCGCGCGGCTGGATAGAGGAACAGGTAAGATCAAAGAACAACTCCGCGGAAGTAAGAGCGGGTACCTGTCAAATTCAGGTACCCGCTCCCGCCCCCCCCTCTCCCCAAAGGTCAGCAGTCATCTCCTGTGCTGTCCGCAGTCTCTGGTCATCCCCGTGCTGTCTGCAGTCTATGGTCATCTCCTGTACTATGTCTGCAGTCCATTAGTTCAGAATTTTTTTTCTCCTGTTTTCTGCCTCTAAAACCTAGGTGCGTCTTATGGTCAGGTGCGTCTTATGGAGCGAAAAATACGGTATATATACAGTATATATACACTATATTGCTAAAACTATTGGGACACCCCTCCAAATCATTGGATTCAGGTGCTCCAATCACCTCCATGGTCACAGTTGTATAAAATCAAGCACCTGGGCATGCAGACTGCTTCTACAAACATTTGTGAAAGAATGGGTCACTTTCAGGAGCTCAGTGAATTCCAGGGTGGTACAGTGATAGGTTGCCACCTGTGCAATAAGTCCATCTGTGAAATTTCCTTGCTACTAAATATTCCATGGTCAACTGTTAGTGGTATTATAACAAAGTGGAAGCAACTGGGAACAACAGCAACTTAGCCACAAAGTGGTAGGCCACATAAAACGAGAGCGGGGTCAGCACATGCTGAAGCGCACAGTGCGCAGAAGTCACCAACTGTCTGCAGAGTCAATAGCTAAAGACCTCCAAACTTCATGTGGCCTTCAGGTTAGCACAACAACAGTGCATAGAGAGCTTCATGGAATGGGTGTCCATGGCCGAGCAGCTGCATCCAAGCCTTACATCACCAAGTGCAATGCAAAGCGTCGGATGCAGTAGTGTAAAGCACACTGCCACTGGACTCTAGAGCACTGGAGACGTGTTCTCTGGAGTGGGAACAGTACTTGCCTGACTGCATTGTGCCAAGTGTAAAGTTTGGTGGAGGAGGGATTATGGTGTGGGGTTGTTCTTCAGGGGTTGGGCTTGGCCCCTTAGTTCCAGTGAAGGGAACTCTTAAGGCGTCAGCATACCAAGACATTATGGACAATTTCATGCTCCCAACTTTGTGGGAAGTTTGTGGATGGTTATTTTTCATTTTTACATATTTAGGTTTAAGGTATTAGAACTTCACCCTCTCAGTTGAGGCATCAACAGCAAGGCTCCTACTTTCCATTCATCATACATCTGCATCAGAGGCTGGCATCAGCTCTGAGGAAAGGGATTAGTCTCAGAAACGCGTCAACAATTTGACCGCACTGACAGTGAGAACACCTTGCCTGCCGTTGTGGCCATTGTCATTTTTCTATGCTTTTTAGATACATGCTTCGTCTGTATGTTTTTATTATTCTTTCACTCCTACAATAAACCTTGGATAATGCACTAGGTGTGTGCGCCACCTGTTTTCTCTCTACCCTCTCAGTCAACACTGACTATTTTTATTCCTTATGCTGCTATCTTTGGTAAATGGATAGAAAAGTATATCCTATTTACTTGTTTTATTTTTATTTTTTTTTTACATTTCTTCAGTTACTTTCTGGCTTCCATACCTAGGCAAATGAAATCATGCATCCCAGCAATCTTTAAGAGACAAAGGAGGGGTTTTCTGAGCTAAGTACACCCTCCTGCCTGCATGACTGAGCTAGAACAATTCCAGGAAGTAAATGCTACATTAATCTTCTACCCTTACTCAAGATGGCCAAGGTAGAAATGCTAGGAGGTGTTTTTTAACATGATTTCCCAGCAAAATAAAATATGGAGGCATGGATGGATGAGGGAGTTTGCTTTGAATATTTACCACTTCAATACTTGGGCACTTTCACCCCCTTCCTGCCCAGGCCAATTTTCAGCTTTTAATGATGTTGCACTTTGAATGACAATTGCTCAGTCATGCAACACTGTACCCAAACTAAATGGTTATCAGTTTTTTGACACAAATAGAACTTTCTGTTGGTGGTATTTAATCATCACTGGGTTTTTTATTTTTTGCTAAACAAACAAGAAAAGACAGAACATTTTGAAAAAAAAACTTTTTTCTTCATTTCTGTTATATAATTTTGCAGAGATAAGTAATTTTTCTTTTTCATGATGAGGCTGCACACTGATGAGGCTGCACTGATGACTGATGAAGTGGCACTGATGAGGCTGCACTGATGGGCACTGAAGTGGTACTGATGAAGTGGCACTGATGAGGGCACGGATGGGCACGGATGAAGTGGCACTGATAGGTGTAAGCCGTGTACCGGGGTGGGCTCCCCAGGATACAGTGAAGTCACGAACGAGGAAAGCAACCCCAACACCAGCTTTTGTCACAACAGAATTTTACTTAAATGTGGCAAATAAACAAAACCACAAATGCTGGAATATACAATAAATTTACATACACCCAGCCCAAAGGCTGAGACCCTTGTGCTGCACGGCGCCTTCTGATGAATGAAGGTAGAAAGTGAAGTAATTTACCTACTGGCGGGCACAACTAAGCTGCCACACCTTACCTGTTATGACCCTAAAAGAACAAGAATCCGTGTTTGGTATGGGCTAGCCTGCGGTGCAGCACAACAGCTTACAATCTTACACAAATCTACAGTATTCCCCCTCCCATAACTGGTCCTGTAGCACGTGCCTGATTATTCCTTCTGAGCAAAACGCCAGTCTAGCTTGAGTTTGTAGGATTTTATCAGCTCTCCAATGTGAAATGTCACTTTAAGTTGTGGAGTCCTTCCAATGATCAGTAACAACACTTGTGGCCTGACACAGAGACCCTAACTAACTATAGGCCTGGTCTCAGTCTCTGGAGGCGCCAGCACTGAAATGAGGTGCGTGCACGATCTTCCCGACCCGAGTCTGCCTTGCATCCACTGGTGACTCAGAACAGATGTCTCTCCAACAAGCATGCGATCTCATCAGCCTTCCTGGCAGTGATCTTCCTTTCTCTGAACAGGATCAGCGTCTTTAACACCATCAGCTTCACTCAACTGAATTTCTGATTATGAAGGGCTGTCCTTACATCTGGATGGCATCGGATTCTTAGATCACACAGCCCCCCTTCTCTCTCTCAAGCATGGCTGCCCTGCTCTCCTTTTCCTGTTCACTCTCCAAGTGTAAAAACCCCACCCCTTCATGAATATAGAAATCTCTATGCAGTCTGAGGCTGTGTTAGAAAAAACAGTGACATCTTGTGGCTAAACTGCAGAATGTCAGTCAGAACGTTTTCAATTTCCTTCAATCAGTGTTCAATGAAAGCTGTTTTCCCCATCTCACACACAGGTACTTATGAAGTGGCACTGATGAGGCTGCTCTGATGGGCACTGATATGCTGCACTGATTATTACACTGATTATTTAGTGTAAATGCCCCAATCACAGGAGAGCTGGGTATCTGCTTTCCTTTCGCTGAGGAAAGGAAATGCTGATAATCGACATTTGTTTACCTTGCGATCAGCTGTGTCCAATCACAGCTGATCACATGTAAAGAGCCAATGTTATTGGCTCTTTATCCTGATCGGTGATGCGCTGTGTCTGAGGGAACCAGTTAAAAATGAATTACAGAGCATTTTTGGTTTGAGGTGCTCAGGTACAGTGAAAATAACAAACATGTTATGCTTACCTGCTCTGTGCAGTGGTTTTGCACAGAGCAGCCCCAATCCTCCTCCTCTGGGATGCCCTGCTGACTCTCCTAGCCCCTCCCTTCTACCGAGTTCTCCCAGAGCAAGCAGCTTGCTATGGGGCACTCAAACAGGCTCACTCCCGAGCCGCTGTTCTGCATGTCCCCCGCCCCTCTTTAGCTCACTGGCTGTGATTGACAGCAGTGGGAGCCAGTGGCTCCCGCTGCTGTCTCAGCCAATGAGGGGGGAGAGTCCCCAGAAAGCCTAGGCTCTCGTGCACATCTCTGGACTGCGATGGGGCTCAGGTAGGTATTGAGGGAGGCTGCTACACACAGAAGGTTTTTTTTACCTTCATGCATTCTATGCATGAATATGGATACTGATAGCAGAAAGCACAATAGGGATCTAAGCCAAGGGGTTTGGAAAAAGAGCTTTACAGATAGCTGGCCATTACAGGCAGTCCCCAAGTTGTGGACATTCGAGTTACGTATGACTCGTACTTACGAATAGAGAAAGAAACAAGAAGTGAGAGGAAAATCTACCCCTAGGAAGAGAAATTCACTCCTGAAAGAGTCATGATGGGAAAAAGATATGTCTACTGATGGTTTATCACCAATCCTTGTTTCCATGACAAGCCAAAATTTTCAAAATCCAATTGTCACAGGCACAGAAAGTGAGGGGAAATGGTCTGAACAGGGGCACAGACAGCAGAGCAAACATTGCAGGGGTATTAACCCTTACCTATGCTATCCAAAAAAAGTAAAAATAATTTTTTTTTGGCTGGAGCTACCCTTAAAAAAATTTACCTGTTCCAAAGTACATAAAAATTCAACTTAAGAACAAACCTACAGACCCTATTGTGTTTGTACCCTGGGGATGTCCTGTAAGTGACTCTAGCTGGAGGTCTCTGAAATTCCTTTACTGGATCAAGTGCCTAGGCACATGGTCACATGACCAGCCAGTGCAAGAACCTGAAATAGAATTTCCTGGAGTACATATAGTAATACAGGGCTTTTTAGACTTTTTTTTTTGTGGTGTGCTTTTTTTTTTTTTTTTTTGGCGGGGGGCAGGATGATCAGGATTGTTTGTGTGCAGTTGGTTATTATAGGTCTGCTTTGAAAATAATACTTGCTGTCCATCTAAGACAATCTACAGCAGCAGAACCTTAGATAGTTTAACTGCCGGATTTTTTAAATAATTATATGAATAGCATTTATCTCCCACGTTGTGAACTGTGATTTACGTGTTCAAACATAACCCTGGTATGTAAAGGTGTGACCACTTTTGTAAGTCAGGCCCAACCTGTCATGTGTTTGTGAAAACAATAGTATTGATGTGTGTGCCAGATGTAGGCTCAGAATAGTAATTGAGTTATGCATTAACTCCAGCCATTGTTACATTTTACCATGTACATGATGAACGGTAAATCACTGGAATGATTTATAAAAATGCTTGCATCGTAAACCGTTTGGGTTGTGCCGTATTTTCTGATCATTCTTGGAAGTATTTGGAAAGAGATGTTATCGCTAAAATAAGGAGAAAAAACATATCTGATTTATTGAGGTGATAAATCTTCCTGTGATAGCCACTTGGGTTTATCCAAAATGAAAACAAATGTAGTTTTAGTTATATTTTACTATTTTATATTTACCTCTTAGGCCTTTTGCACACTTGAAAAACTAACAAACAAACCAGCGCTCAAATCTTCATGCAGACTAGAAGGAATTCAGAATGCCAAACGGGGAGGTGCAGCCCTTCAAAGATCGGGAAATCTGGATATTGATGAACAAAAGCAAAGAAAGGCGCACTCTCATCGTGCATTACCTTGGTACACCACGTGTTTATTCTGTAAACAAATACCGTATTTGCCGGCGTATAAGACGACTTTTTACCCCTTAAAAATCTTCTCAAAAGTCGGGGGTCGTCTTATACGCCGTATAACATCACATGACACTTTTTAGGGGGGGGGCGCGGTGCCGCCGCCGCCCCCCCCCCCCTTCCCCTACGGAAGGGACACTAAGTACAGGGGTGGGAATAACCTGGTTCCGGTCCCAACGATCAGAAGGAAGCGCGGCTGCGCCTTCAGGTTCGGCAATGGCAGTCCATTGGCCGCCAGAACTGAAGCTCA